TGACTTGATGGAACCTAACAACAATGCCAGCAAGGAGCTCTGGTGGCATACTGTGTTGCACTGCTAACTAAAAGGTCAGTGGTTTGAATACACCAGCTGTTCCAAAGGAGAAAGATGGGCCATTGCCTGCTGTGCAAGATTTACAGCATCTGGAAACTTGAAGGGGGATTGCTCTGGGTCAGAATATACTTAGTGGCTCTAAGCTTTTTGGAATGACTGATAAGGCGTCACAGTTGCACAGCATATGGCTGCTAAACAAAAAGTCAATGGTTCAAACCACTAGGCATCATGCAGAAAGATGAGGCAGTCTACATCCACAAAGATTTACACTCTTGGAATCTCTAGAAAACAGTTCTACTATGCTCTGTAGGAAGGCTTAGTGGTAAGGAGTTGCGCTGACAACCCAAAGGCAGGTAATTCAAATCCACCAGCTGCTCCGTGAAAAAAGACAGGCAATTTCCTCCCATGCCTCTGAAAACCCACTGGCGGGTCAGCTATGAGTTGGTCCTGACCGGATGATACACCCTGTAGCGTCACTATGACTCAGAGGAAACTAGTTTGGGTTACTGGATAATACTGAACATCTCGTGTGTTTACTGGCTTCAATTTGGTTCTGGGTTAGCACCAGAATTCTTTATGGACTGGGACACCAGAGCTCTGTAGGCCTCCATTTACTGTTGATAAAGGGTAAGGAAAATGCTTTTCGACCAACCACAGAAAACTACATGCCATCAAGCTGATTTCTAAAGCTCTACCTGTGCTATTATTACAGAAGTCATTTGTTCATATTAGGCTGTTCAAGCATATTAAGTTATTCATGTTACATAATACTGTAAGTGACAAACATCTCAATTACAGTGTGTTAATGTTTCCAAAAAAGGAGAAGTTGAAGTACTCTTAATTACAGAAGTTTTGGGGAAAACCTGCCACAATCACTCCTAAATCTATAATTCATGTAAAGCCTACACAATATCACTTTTTTCAACAGTTTAAGAAATCGTTAAGAAGTTCAGATTCTCAAGAGACACACAATTCAAGAGATGCCAGAAATTTGAAAGTGTCTGCACCAAATGAATTTCAAGATAACCTTCACTACATTAGTTATGCAATTATACTGCCAATCTTTGTCAGTTCTTAGTACAAATTTCTTTTCTTTTTCCTTAATGTGCAACAAGCCAAGACTATGATAAAGTTCTATTAAAAAAGAATCTATCTTTTAAAAAAGAAGGGAGAATCAATGACCACAAAAAGAACAGTAGTATTTGTACAATAAATTCTGACCTAGAAATTAAAAGTACCAATTCTTATACTAATGACTGCTGAAGATCATCCAAAAACAGCCAGAACTGAAACAGAACTGCCAGAAGTTCAAGTTGGGTTTAGAAGAGGACATAGTACCAGGGATATCACTGCTGATGTCAAATGGAGCCTGGCTGAAAGCAGAGAATCTATTCTATAAGTGAGAACATCTATTTCTGCTTTATTAACAATGCAAAGACATTTTGACCATGTAGATCATGAGAAGAATAGAAATCCTAGAACATTTAGCTGTGCTCATGCAAAAGCTATATGCAGACCAAGAAGCTGTTGTCCAAAAAAAGCAAGGAAACTGCATGGTTTTAAATCAAGAAACGTGTACATTAGGACTGTATCCTTTCTCCATAACTATTCAATTTGTATGAGTAACTCATCCAAAAAGTTGGACTTTATAAAGAATGTGGTATCAGGAGCGGAGGAAGACTTAACCTATATTATGCAGATGATACAACTTTGCTTGCTGAGAGCACTAACTGGAAAACTACAACCTGCATCTCAAAGTAAAAGAGAAAAAAATTCTCACCACTGGGCCAGCAGAGATCATGACTGATAAAGACTGAGTTTATCAACCATTTCATCTTCCTGGGATCAACAATCTACATTCTTGGTACCAGCAGTCGGGTCAGGAGATGTAATCCAGTGGGACCTCCCCAAAGTGCTGAAGAGAGATAATGTTAAAGACCAAGGTGTGGCTGATTCAAGCCAAGGTGTTTTCAATCACCTGATAGCACCCAAGAGCTGGACAATGAATAAATATGACAGAAGAATTCTTGATACCTTTGATTGTGGTGCTGAAGCAGAGTACTGAATATCCCATGGATAGCAAAAAAAATAAATGTCTTGGAAAAAAAAAATGCAGTCAGAGCGCTCCTTAAGAGGCTGCATGGCAAAGCTTCATCTCACACATTTGGCAGAGGTTGTTAGGAAGGGCTATTCCTTGGAAAGGGAAATCATGCCTGCAAAGGTGAAGGGTCAGTGATACAGAGGAACACCCTCAATGTGATGGATTAACACAGTGACTGCGGCAATAGGCTCAAGTATGACAAAAATATAAAGATGACACAGGATAGGAAAGAGTTCAGATCTGTTCACAGGGTTGCTATGAGTCACACTTGATGACACCTAACAAGTACCAATAAAAGTAGCAGGGATGAATCTCAAAAATAGTATACTGAGATAAAGAAGTCTTACTAGAAGAGAACATACTAGGTGGATCCACTCAAAGGGAAGTTCAAATAGTGGGAAAATTAACTAAAGGTGCTAGAAGTCACAATAGGAAGATAGTCAAGGGCTGATTGGGAGAGGGGACATGCTGAAGATGATAGACTACTAACTCTATAGGTTTATATAAGTGTGGGTTACAGAGTGTATGTATGGATCAAAACTCAAGGAATTATAACACTTGAGATCCGTGCCCTGAAAACTGCATTTTCTTTATTGTAGAATTAGATATTCTTCTATAGCTCTAAAAAAAAATTCACTGTAACATAACTAATAATTCCTTCTTTAGAATTTGTTAGCAATTTGTTTTCAGAGACACCGTAACTCCTTTCCTTCTAATCTTAGATGGCTCTTCTGAGAAATTTATGTCTACTCCACCCTCTTATTCTTATTCACCCACATTTCTTCCCAATGTCAATCCCTCCTTAAGTGACTTCACCATCACAAACTCTACTACCACCAAGCTGAAGACACCTAGAGCTCTTCACTGAATTTATGTATGTACTATATACATATTATGTGTGTGTGTGTGTGTGTGTGTGTGTGTGTGTGTATATATATAAAACATATGCGTAATATGTATAAATAGATGTACTTTATATGCTATTTGCCTTTGAGTCAGAATCAATCCATAACTGACTGTCCAGAGGGTTTTCAGAGACAGTAAATCCATAGAGGAGACTATCCATCCCTCTTCCACGGAGCCAATTGTTGGATTTGAACCTTGTGCCTTTGCTTTTGGGTTTACAGCACAGGTTCCTACCACTATCTATCTATCATCTTTTCTTTTTTGCTGCTACCAAACACAACACAACACACCACCAAAAGTTCAATATTACTACACCTGGACCTTTTCTCCCAACCTCACTCAACTTAAAAATCCCCTTCTTAATTTAGTTAACAGCATATCTTAGACTGAAATCATTCTTAAATATCATCTCCCTCAGGCAACTGCAGGGCCCTACAGAAAAAGAGGGAAAACAATAATCATGGAACATTCTTTCCATCCTACCTGGGTCCTTTATTATTCCAATTATCTTCCAACTCATCTGTAACTTAAAATGTCATCTCTGCCTCAATTTCCAAAGAAACATTACTTTTTATGCAGTACATCTGCTCAATTTTTTTTTGTTGTTGTTGTTTTAAACTACTCTCACTCTTAGTACCAGCAGCCAAGAAATTAAAAAAGGAATTGCATTGGTAAATTCCACTGTCCGAGACCTCTCCAAAGTAATGAAAAGCAATGATGTAAGTCTGGAGACTAAAGTGCACACGATCCAGGCCATAGTCTTTGCAATTACTTGCTATGCATCAGAAAGCTTGACAATGAGTAGGGACAATAAAAGGATAAATGATGTCTTTGCATTGTAGTGCTGGAGAAGAGTACTGACTATCATGGCCTGCTAGGAAAACAAACAGGTTCATGCTAGAAAGGGTGAAACCTCGTTGCTCCTTCGAGGCAAGGATTCTGAAGATTCGTCTGACATACTTTGGACATGTTTCTAGGAAGGACCAGTCCTTGAAAAGGGGCGTCATGCTTGGGAGGGGGGAGGGACAGTGCAAGAAAGGAAGACCCTCAATGAGATGGATTGATTCAGGGACTGAGATAATAATGGAGCTAGGTGTGTCAGAGACAATAAGATTGACACAGGATAGAGCAGGTTAGGGTTGTTGTACATAAGGTTGCTGAGTCGCAGGCGACTTGACAGCACATAACAACAATGAAGGGAGCCCTGATGGCTTAGTGGGTAAGGAGCCCCAATGCCAGCTCAAAGGCACTGTATTCAAATCCACCAGCTGCTCAGGGGGAAAAGACCGGTAATCTTCTCCCCAGTTATTTATGGCCTCTAAAAACTGGAGGATCTGCTATGAGTTGGTTCCCACTGGACGGTACAAAACCATGCTAAATGCAACAGAATTCACAATAATTAACTTGGAGAAGCCCGTATAATTAAAGCAACTGGTAGAATCTGAATGACCTTTCCTGACCTCATCTGGTAGGTGAATGACGTTCTCTGAGCATCAAGATAATGGGGATCATTCAATCACTTCACAGATGGGGAAAGTATATTACCTCGTTGCCCACTGACTGCATGGTCTAGGCCCCCTCAGACATGCAGGGGACACATGAGACACCTACATCGGGTCACACTGTACTGCTCTTAGGGCTGCCCCAGGTGTTAATATTCCCGCCTAAGTGTCTGCTGCGGCCTCTGGGTCGTAGAGGTGACAGAAATGGAGAGGAACAGAACAAAACGTCAGCCTCTGTCAGGTCCCCGCTGGTCCTAGGGTCACCTTGACGCCCGGAGAACAAAACCCAACTTCCGCACAAAACTAGCTTTACAAAAAGGAGCAGTGAACAGACCCGAAGCTAAAGGGGACAAGCGCTCGGGGAGCCGGCGACTGGCTGCGGGGAAGGGGGTCTGGTGGCCAGTCCTGCTGTCTAGCGACGCGACCCCTACCTGCGGGCTGTAGGCAGCAGAAGCCCATGATACTGCCAGTTTCTGTGTGAAACCACTGAACTTGTAATACATGATCTTCAGCATCCACGTTCCCAAAGGCTGCCTAGGCGACCGCACCAAGAAAAGACCCTGCCTCCTTAGCTGCCGCCTCAAACCTCAGCTCAGGACCCTGAGTCAGCGGAACGGACTGCCCAGAGATTGCCTAATTTAAACATGCCTTCTTAAGCTATATCAAGCATCAACAAATCTAGATTTTATGGCCAAGAGAGGCTAAACAGCTCTAAAACAGCATGGGAAGTTGAGGTTGGAATATGTAGAAAATATGGGTACACGTTCCCCTGACCTCCATTCATTAGAGTCAGGCAGTGCCAAAACACCTTAAGAACTGCGCAAGCGCTCCACGGACCAAGATGGGCCGACAAGGTCCTTGCCGGAGTCGAAAGGGGGCGGGCTCTCACGGGGGCGGGGCGG